ACGTGTGTATTTTTCCTTCGGCGAGGACCATCGAGGAGCATCCTTGATCATTTGGCGAAAAAACACGCACGAAATCTAGAAATACACGAGGAATGGACGTCCGAGCGATGGCGAGTGGACCGTCCTTGGGAGCCCCCTGGGCCGGGGGCCCTCTTGGCCCGCGCCCGGGGGCTCCCAGAGGCCACGGGAGCGAGTGTCCGGCGACGGGGCCCGAGGGGCGCGCGGAAACCCCGGGGGCGCCCAGAGGTCAGGGTTGTGGGCCCTCCGGAGAGTGTACTTGTAGACTCCACCGGGGCCTACGAGACGGGGGTCAGTGCAAACGGGGGTCAGCCAGGGCACCTGATCCTGCAGGATCCTGCGGAGGCCCCCTCTGGCTGACCCGGGTTAGCGAGCCGCTCGTGGCCGCGAGGCGGCCGCGCATATTGGCTGACCCGGGTTTGCGAGGACCTGCGTTGCAGTTTTTTTCCCCATATCCTAAGATGGGGTTCTTGTTATTACTTGGACGCCTCCTACTCACTCTCCCTCCTCCTCTTTCCTCCTCCCCTCCTGTCGGAGTTACTCATACTCAGACTTGCTCATACCCAGACTTGCTCATACACAGGCTTACTCATACTCATATACTCTCATACTCAGATCTACTCATACTCAGACCTACTCTTACTCAGACATACTCATACTCAGACTTACTCATACTCAGACATACTCATACTCAGGCATATTCATACTCAGACCTACTCATACTCAGACTTACTCATACTCTGACTTACTCATACTCAGACATTATCATACCCAGACGTACTCATACTCAGACTTACTCACACTAAGACATATTCATACTCAGACTTACTCATACTCAGACTTACTCATACCCAGGCGTACTCATACTCAGACTTACTCATAGTCTGAGACTTACTCAACACACAGCAGATTGTGAGGATGTCTCAGGCGGGGCGCTGGTTTCAGCACCCCGAAGGGGAGCCGCCAGGGGTGGTTGCACGGGCTCGTTCGCGGCCATTTTGTGGGGATGTCTCAGGCGGTTTGCTTGTTTCTGGGCCCAACATCCTTCGCTTGGAGAGCAGATTGTGAGGATGTCTCAGGCGGGGCGCTGGTTTCAGCACCCCTAAGGGGAGCCGCCAGGGGTGGTTGCACGGGCTCGTTCGCGGCCATTTTGTGGGGATGTCTCAGGCGGTTTGCTTGTTTCTGGGCCCAACATCCTTCGCTTGGAGAGCAGATTGTGAGGATGTCTCAGGCGGGGCGCTGGTTTCAGCACCCCTAAGGGGAGCCGCCAGGGGTGGTTGCACGGGCTCGTTCGCGGCCATTTTGTGGGGATGTCTCAGGCGGTTTGCTGTTTCTGTGCCCAACATCCTTCGCTTTCGGAGCAGATTTGGAGGATGTCTCGAGCGAGGCGCTCATTTCAGCACCCCTAAGGGGAGCCGCCAGGGGTGGTTGCACGGGCTCGTTCGCGGCCATTTTGTGGGGATGTCTCAGGCGGTTTGCTTGTTTCTGGGCCCAACATCCTTCGCTTGGGAGCAGATTTGAGGATGTCTCAGGCGGGGCGCTGGTTTCAGCACCCCTAAGGGGAGCCGCCAGGGGTGGTTGCACGGGCTCGTTCGCGGCCATTTTGTGGGGATGTCTCAGGCGGTTTGCTTGTTTCTGGGCCCAACATCCTTCGCTTGGAGAGCAGATTGTGAGGATGTCTCAGGCGGGGCGCTGGTTTCAGCACCCCTAAGGGGAGCCGCCAGGGGTGGTTGCACGGGCTCGTTCGCGGCCATTTTGTGGGGATGTCTCAGGCGGTTTGCTTGTTTCTGGGCCCAACATCCTTCGCTTGGAGAGCAGATTGTGAGGATGTCTCAGGCGGGGCGCTGGTTTCAGCACCCCTTAGGGGAGCCGCCAGGGGTGGTTGCACGGGCTCGTTCGCGGCCATTTTGTGGGGATGTCTCAAGCGGTTTGCCTGTTTCCGGGCTCAACATCCTTCGCTTGGAGAGCAGATTGTGAGGATGTCTCAGGCGGGGCGCTGGTTTCAGCACACATAAGGGGAGCCGCCAGGAATGGTTGCACGGGCTCGTTCGCGGCCGTTTTGTGGGGATGTCTCAGGCGGTGTGCTTGTTTCTCGTGGCACTATCCTCCAACATGACATGCATTTATGGCCTTGTGTGGCTAAGCGCTCGTCTTACATATGCGCATGTGGGAAGCTCCAAAGCTACCACGGGCTGAAAAGGGGAAGGCCTGGCAGCTGAGGAGGGGGGATGAAGAGGAAGAGGCTCGCATTCAACCATACTCAAAGCTCACTCTGACTCATACGCAATCACTCGCATTAGGGGTCACTGATTCGTCGGCCCTGTCGCCCACGTGGACGCGCTATTGTAGTCGACCGCTCATGAACAGACGTTCACCACGGCATGACATTACTCACTGCGTGGAGCTCCCCATATGTGCACCCTTTTTTTTAAAAAAGGTGATATTGTATATGGGTCTACAGGAACACACGTAAAACACCAAGGACTCGTTCCCCAGGAGGGCCCAATATGTAGGAACAAACGTAAAACAAGTAGGATTGCTTACACTGGAGAAGGACAACATATAGAAACAAACGTAAAGCATCAAAGAATCGTGCTCCAGGTGAGGCCCAATCGATAAGAACATACGTAAAACACATGGGATTGGAGCCACTCCTGTTGCCTTCTGAGGCCTCCTGCTCCTGGGGCCTCTCGGGGCCTCCTGTTGCCTTCCGAGGCCTCCTGGCGCTTCCTGTTGCCTCCTGGGGCCTCCTGTGGTTTCCTGAGGCCTTCTGGAGCTTCCTGGGGCCTCCTGGAGCCTCTTGGGACATCCTGTGGCCTCTTGAGTCTTTCTGTGGCCTCCTGATGCCTCCTGGGACCTCATGTGGTCTCCTGGGGCCTCCTGGAGCCTGTTGGAGCCTCCTGTGGCATCCTCAAAATCTGGCCCACCTGGGGGGTGAAAATGAGCGCCTCGCTCGAGACATCCTCCAAATCTGCTCCGAAAGCGAAGGATGTTGAGCCCAGAAACAAGCAAACCGCCTGAGACATCCCCACAAAATGGCCGCGAACGAGCCCGTGCAACCACCCCTGGCGGCTCCCCTTAGGGCCACGAGCCTGGCCACCAAAACAAGCAAACCTCGAGACATCCTCAAAATCTGGCCCACCTGGGGGGTGAAAATGAGCGCCTCGCTCGAGACATCCTCCAAATCTGCTCCGAAAGCGAAGGATGTTGGGCCCAGAAACAAGCAAACCGCCTGAGACATCCCCACAAAATGGCCGCGAACGAGCCCGTGCAACCACCCCTGGCGGCTCCCCTTAGGGGTGCTGAAACCAGCGCCCCGCCTGAGACATCCTCACAATCTGCTCTCCAAGCGAAGGATGTTGAGCCCAGAAACAAGCAAACCGCCTGAGACATCCCCACAACATGGCCGCGAACGAGCCCGTGCAACCACCCCTGGCGGCTCCCCTTAGGGGTGCTGAAACCAGCGCCCCGCTGGAGACATCCTCCAAATCTGATGTGTGTTGAGTAAGTCTGAGTATGAGTAGGTCTGAGTATGAGTATGCCTGAGTATGAGTAAGTCTGTGTATGAGTAACTCTGTGTATGAGTAAGTATGGGTATGAGTAGGTCTGTGTATGAGAAAGTTCTGAGTATGAATAAGTAAGTCTGAGTATGAGGAGGGGAGGAGGAAAGAGGAGGAGGAAGGAGGAGTAGGAGGCGTCCAAGTAATAACAAGAACCCCATCTTAGGATATGGGGAATAAAACATGAGATGCACATATGGGGAGCTCCACGCAGTGAGTAATGTTCGCTCTTGCATTGCAGTTCTTTGGTTCCTTGCTGACCCGGGTCTGGATTGACCCGGGTCAGAAGATCCCCGAGGGTTGTGGGCCCTCCAGAGAGTGTATTTGTAGACTCCACGTGCGTGCGGAGTTGGTTGCGCTTCGCGGCCTGGGCGACGTCAGAGCGAGGCTCGAGTCCTTTCATCCTCTTCCAGGGGGGGGAGGGGCGGCACGAAAGCGCGAAGATGTAATCGCGCTTCGCGGAGCGCGGAGCGCGAACATAGTTGCCCTGGCGTCTTCCGACGGCTGGCGTTGCAAAGATAGCGTGCGACGTGGCACCGTTGGCCCGCTCCTTGCAGGCCGCCCCATTCTGCGGATGGCATGCACGGAGGAACCTCTGGCGCGGGGCTGGTGCGCAGAAAAGGGCCTGCGCGGGGGGATCGCCTCGCAGGGACAGCGTATGTTCGGAGATCGACGCTGCTCGCAAAGCTCTCCAAAACCCAATCGTACACAGAGGACTCAAACTCCTCAAACCCAATCGTATGAGAAGGCGAAAACCCACCCCCACCCCCAGTCCCGACCCCATTTCCGAACCCGCGATCAAGGGGTCGGGGCTGGGGGTGGGGGTGGGTTTTCGGGGTCCAGAAGTGGAGAAAGCCCACCCCCTCCCCCAGTCCTGACCCCCTGGATCGCGGGCTCGGGGGTGGGCGTCGGGACTGGGGGTGGGGGTGGGTTTTCGCCTTCTCATCGTACACAGAGGACTGCCAGGGACCCGAGGGCACTCCGCTCAGCGCCTCGCGGCACGTTGGCGGACATCCGCGCGCCGAGATTGGGGCGGCGAAGTCCGAGCCCTGCCCTCGCCGAGCAACGACTCGGGCTGCTCGAGGGGCGACGCGGGCAGGGTGCGGAATCCGTCGAGCACGTGGCGAAATCCGAACCCTGCCCCCCTCCTCCTCCTCCTCCTCCTCCCCCTCCTCCTCCTCCTCCTCCTCCTCCTCCTCCTCCTCCTCCTCCTCCTCCTCCTCCTCCTCCTCCTCCTCCTCCTCCTCCTCCTCCTCCCCCTCCTCCCTCTCCTCCTCCTGGGGAGGGCCCCCGCGGGCACCCAGGGGCGGGCGCCGCCTCGGGCGCGCCCGGTCTGCCGTGGGGCTCGCCTCCTCGTCGCGGGGGCTGCGCTTCCATCGATTCCGGAGAGTCGATGCTGGGTGTTCGGGTGTCGCCGTCTACAGACGTCAAGACAGGCACAACCGCAGCCATGTGGGCCGCAGCGCCTGCCCTCCCGAGCCACCCCCGCCTGTAGCCATGGCCGGCAGTGACGAGGCCATCCCGCTGCCCTTCCTGGGCGTCGGGCGGCTGAACAAGCCGACCGGCGACACGCTGCTGGCCACCTATCCTCGGCGACACAACGGGTGTGGTTACGCTGGGGTGCTCGGGGGCGGCTCAGAGACGCTGGGGTGTTCGGGGGCGGCCGAGAGGGGGGGAATGTTCAGGGGGGGAATTCGTATGGCGGGGGCCACGATACCTCCCCCGATTCCATGGCCCCCTCTTCTTCTCTCCATGCGTCCCCCGGTTCCCCCCGCGTCGGCGCACATGACTCCGGCCATGCTTTTGTGAACCAACCTTTTGGACACCCCCCTCTTGGACGGCCATTCTCAAAATCGGTCCGCGCATAGATCAACCAGGTGCCTTTCGTCAGGATACCCTGGGTTTCTTCGCACCGCGTTCTGCGCGGTGACCTCCAGCTTCCGTTCAAGGACCTGCTGCGTCCAGGGTGCTCTGGGCTTCTCCCCAGTCGCACCTCGCGCGCGGGTCTTCGGGGCTGGGTTTCTTGAGAGGGTTTCGTGTGGCCGCGTCCGCACTGCCAGCGTGTGGTTTGCGGTCGGCGCCGTTGGGGCTGAGGAGGCCACCGCGCTGCGCCCGAGGTTCGATGTGCCCTCGTCGGGGCGCGGCAGAGATCTCCGTCGAGGTCCTCGCCCGCCCCCTCCCAGCCCCCCCAGGCGCGGGTTGCAAGCCGCATCCTTTGCAAGCCACATCCTTCGGAGTCGCCGCCTATCACTGTCCCACGTCCCAGAAGAAGGATGAGATCGAGGATGTCTTCAAGAAGTTCATGAAGGCGGCAAGGATTAAGCTCGAGCCTGGGCAGAAGATCCGCCTCTTGTGGCAGGAGGGCAGCGTCTGTTGCCTCAAGGACATGGGGGGCACCCTGGTCTTCTGCCTCGTGACCGCCCAGACAGGAGGCCCCAACAGATACGCGTCCAGCACCTCCCTCCCCCCACTGTCCCTCTGGGGGAGAGGGGGTCAAGGTTGGGTGGGAGTTGGCGCGTTGTCCCTGAGGGGGAAGACTGGGTGGGAGGGGACTGGGGGGAAAGGCGCTGGATGTGGATGTCTTCGGGCCCCCTTGCCAGAAAACCTACTCTGAAAGCCGCGCGTTCCAGCTGCTGACGGAGTTTGCAGGTCTTGTGGCGAAGTGTCCCGATTACGAGACGTGCGCCCAGAATAGCTTGACGGAGCAGCTCGCGCCGGTCATGAGACAGCTCATCTGGAAGAACCGAAAGCGGCATGGGACCAAACTGTCGAAGGCCCCCAGGTGGATTTCTCGGGTCGGCGCTGGACCCGTCTGCTCGAGCTACTTCCCTGGCGCAAGGAGCGCGCGTTGGACCGTTCTTGAGGCGCCGCCAAGGGTGGTGCGGGGGGGGGTCTGACGCCGACGCGAGGAGTTAGCGCGGACATTCGAAGGTTTCTGTTTCTGTTTTCCATCCTCCCGCCCAGAATCTATCCCTGGACCCCCTCCTGGGGCCCATCCTTGCAAGTTCTGCTTCTTGGCCCGATGCTTGACGGTCCCGGGACCAGAACGGGCATCCTAGAGGTGAAGACTTCAGCGTAGCAAGATGTCATGATCATGAAGTCTGAAACGATTTCCAGGATGTTCCATATTTCCTGTTGTTCTGCACGGGTTCGAGACAAGATGGCCGATGGATACCCCAGAACTCATGGAACGCATCCTGATCCAATCGCATCAAGATAATATTATCGTCCTGCTGGAAGTGCGAAACAAGGGCTCTTCGACTGTCCTCCCGATGCATCCGACGATGTGTTTCGTTTCCCATGCGCGGCCCCGGGGGTCCCGACCCACTTCGCGGGGGTAGTTGTTCGTCCTGGATCATCCAGGGGCCCGATAACAGTCCCCACTACGGGCGCTTCGCTGTTTGGCCCCGATTCCTCCTCGTCCTGCTCTTCTCCTTGCAGGGCGGCGCGAGAGAGCGCGAAGTTCTTCGCGCTTCGCGCAGCGCGCAGCGCGAAGTCAGGCGCGCCTGGAGACGGCACGAGAGCGGGGCAGGCTCGCAGACCCTCAGTGGCAGCAAGAGGCACGCCTGGAGACCCTCGGAACCCACCCGGCCTGCCTTTGCACCCCGAACCGCTTTCTGCTCTTCCGCCGTCGACAAGTACAGCCGCGACGACGTGCCGCAGGCCGGCCCGGCGCGCTCCGGCGGCCAGCAGGCGCCCCAGACGTGCGCGGAGCGGTGCACCGGCAGTTGCGCGGTGATGTGAGCGCCCGGGCTCCTCCCTCGGGGGCGGCCAGGAGGGGGGGGGCGGATGGCTGGGGCAGGCCTGGGCAGTCACGACTGGGGCCGCAGGGCTCGAGCTGAACGGTGTTCGGGCGAGATCCTGGGCCGTTGTCGCTCGGGCTTCGCTTCGCGGCGAGGGCAGAACCCGGGCAGAGCGAGAGAGAACGGGCGCAGGTCGACACGCTGCTTGGCTCGAGCCCTGTGGGGGCCATGGCGCCTCCTGGGAATCGCACCGCCCCTCTTCTGGTCCTCGGTGCGCCCCCCTTGGCCCATGGGGCCCGTCCAGTGGGGCCCCTGCCTTCGGGGAGGCCCCCGGCCTCCTCGGGCGGCGTAGGGGCCCCCTGGCGCCACGGTGCCGCCCGGAAGGGGGGGGGCGGGGGCCTTCCTGAGGAGGCGGCGCGCACCAGGGGTTGGCGTCGCACCCCCCCCCGGAGAAAATTATCCCGGCAAAGCAACCAAACAGCGATGTGTAGGAGCATATCTGGAAGCATTCCCCTGAAGATTCAGATGAGAATCATGTTGTAGAATTCTGCTGTTCTCGCAGTCGTAGTCGCATTCGCGATGGCAGTCGCAGTGGCAACAGCAGTCGCAGTCACAGCCTCAGCCTCAGCCTGCCTCAGCCTCAGCCTGCCTCAGCCTCAGCCTGCCTCAGCCTCAGCCTCAGCCTGCTTCAGCCTCAACCTCAGCCAGCCTTCAGCTTCAGCCTCAGCCTCAGCCTCAGCCTCAGCTTCAGCCTGCCTCAGCATCAGCCTCAGCATCAGCCTGCATCAGCCTGCCTCAGCCTCAGCCTCAGCCTGCCTCTGCCTCAGCCAAAGCCTGCTTCAGCCTCAGCCTCAGTCTGCCGTCGGCCTCGGCCTCAGCCTCAGCCTGCTTCAGCCTGAGCCTGCCTCAGCCTCAGCCTCAGCCTCAGCCTGCCTCAGCCTCAGCCTCAGCCTGCTTCAGCCTCAGCCTCAGTCTGCCTTGAGCCTCGGCCTCAGCCTCAGGCTGCCTCAGCATCAGCCTGCCTCAGCCTCAGCCTGCATCAGCCTCAGCCTCAGCCTCAGCCTGCCTCAGCCTCAGCCTCAGCCTCAGCCTCAGCCTCAGCCTCAGCCTCAGCCTCAGCCTGCCTCAGCCTCAGCCTGCCTCAGCCTCAGCCTCAGCCTCTTCAGCCTCAGCCTCAGCTCAGCCTCAGCCTTCAGCCTGCCTCAGCCTCAGCCTCAGCCTGCCCTCAGCCTCAGCCTCAGCCTGCCTCAGCCTCAGCCTCAGCCTCAGCCTCAGCCTCAGCCTCAGCCTCAGCCTCAGCCTCAGCTGCCTTCAGCCTCGGCCTCAGCCTCAGCCTGCCTCAGCCTCAGCCTGCATCAGCCTCAGCCTCAGCCTCAGCCTGCCTCAGCATCAGCCTGCCTCAGCCTCAGCCTCAGCCTGCCTCAGCCTCAGCCTCAGCCTGCTTCAGCCTCAGCCTCAGTCTGCCTTCAGCCTCGGCCTCAGCCTCAGCCTGCCTCAGCCTCAGCCTGCATCAGCCTCAGCCTCAGCCTCAGCCTGCCTCAGCATCAGCCTGCCTCAGCCTCAGCCTCAGCCTGCCTCAGCCTCAGCCTCAGCCTGCTTCAGCCTCAGCCTCAGTCTGCCTTCAGCCTCGGCCTCAGCCTCAGCCTGCCTCAGCCTCAGCCTGCATCAGCCTCAGCCTCAGCCTCAGCCTGCCTCAGCATCAGCCTGCCTCAGCCTCAGCCTCAGCCTGCCTCAGCCTCAGCCTCAGCCTCAGCCTCAGCCTCAGTCTGCCTTCAGCCTCGGCCTCAGCCTCAGCCTGCCTCAGCCTCAGCCTGCATCAGCCTCAGCCTCAGCCTCAGCCTGCCTCAGCATCAGCCTGCCTCAGCCTCAGCCCCAGCCTGCCTCAGCCTCAGCCTCAGCCTGCTTCAGCCTCAGCCTCAGTCTGCCTTCAGCCTTGGCCTCAGCCTCAGCCTGCCTCAGCCTCAGCGTGCCTCAGCCTCAGCATCAGCCTGCCTCAGCATTCAAAATGTGGCCCGGGAATGGAGTTCTGGGAACTCGAAGAACACGAAGTGGCCTACAGTTGGCTCCATGCCCAGGAATGGAGTTCTAGGAACCCGAAGACCACGAAGTGGCCTACAGTTGGCTCGGGGCATTCAAAATGTGGCCCGGGAATGGAGTTCTGGGAATTCGAAGAGCACGAAGTGGCCTACAGTTGGCTCCGGGCATTCAGAATGTGGCCCGGGAATGACTGGAAGACCACGAAGTTACCTACAGTTGGCTCCGGGCATTCAGAATGTGGCCCGGGAATGGAGTTCTGGGACCTCGAAGACCACGAACTGTGTATTTGTTGGCTAAAAAAGTCCCCTGCACCCTCCCCCGGATCGCGCCCAGACCCCCCTGGGGCGTCATGATGCTCTCTTTTGACCCTACTAGAAACCTATCAGTCTTCGCTGTTAGGTAATATAGGGGAAATGTGGGGAATCATGGGATTCGTTTGTATTCTCTTCCTCTTCACCCGGTGTCTAGAGCCACCCCCTGAGAAAATATTGGGAAATGCGGGGAATCCTGGCATTCGAGATATGGGAAGTATTGGAAGATATGGGGTAATACGAAAAATATTGGGAATGCTGTATTTTCTTGCAGTGTGTCTAGAGCCCCGACTACTTGAGTTCGGCACGGCACCGCCCCTCCATCCCGCGCTCCACCTCCCCATCACCCCGACCACCAGCCAGCGCGCTCCCTCCGCCCCGACCCTTTTATTTCGGCACGGCACCGCCCCCTCCCATCCCGAGCGCCCCCCTCTGCATCACCCCACTTACCAGCCAGTGCGCCCCCTCCGTCCCGAGCCCTTCATTTCGGCACGGCACGCCCCCCCCATCCCGCGCGCCTCTTCCGCGTCATCCCACCCACCGGCCAGCCAGAGCGCCCCCTCCGCCCCGACATTCTTATTTCGGCACGGCACCGCCCACTCCCCATTCCGCACGCCGCCTCCGCATCACCCCACCCACCAGCCAGCGCGCCCTCTCCGCCCCGACCCCTCGGCATGGCACCGCCCCCCCCATCCCGAGTGGCCCCCCTCTGCATCACCCCCCCCCACCAGCCAGCGCGCCCCCTCCGCCCCGACCCTTTGATTTCGGCACGCCGCCCCCCCTCCCATCCCGAGCGCCACCTCCATCACCCCATCCACCAGCCATCTCGCCCCCTCCGTCCCGACCCCCTTCTTTCTGCACGGCACCACCCCCCTCCCATCCCGCGCGCCTCTTCCGCATCCCCCCACCCACCAGTCAGCGCGCCACCTTCGCCCCGACCTCTTTTATTAATCGCTTCGCTCATTCCGCTGGCCCTCGAGCGCTCTATGGGGCCTCTTTGAAGCCTCTTGGGGGCCTCTTTGGGGCATCCTAGGGGCCTCTTGGGGGCCTCTTGGGAGTCTCTTGGGGCTCCTCGGCGGCGTCTTGGGCTCCCCTGGGGCCTCTTGGGGGGCTCTTGGGGGCCCCTTGGGGCAGGAGGGGGGGTAGTCGATTGCAGCCACCCCCTCGGAGGCCACGATCCTCGTGAGGGGTGGCGAAAAATAGCCTCCCCCCTGGGGATCGCCCAGGGGTCAGCCGGGGATCGGTCGAGGTACTGTTCGTCCAGGGGCCCCCAGGGGCCGCCCCGCGCGCGCGAACTAGAAATATTGTTGGTAGTTACCGGAGATCTTAGCACGCCTCTGGCCCGTTGGGCTGGCGAGTTTCGGCACGGCACCGCCCCCCCCATCCCGCGCGCCTCTTCCACACCCTCCCACCCACCAGCCAGCGCGCGCTCCCTCTGCCCCGACCTCTTTTATCAATCGCTTCGCTCATTCCGCCTGCCCTCGAGCGCTCTGTGGGGCCTCTTTGAAGCCTCTTGGGGGCCTCTTTGGGGCATCCTAGGGGCCTCTTGGGGGCCTCTTGGGAGTCTCTTGGGGCTCCTCGGCGGCGTCTTGGGCTTCCCTGGGGCCTCTTGGGGGGCTCTTGGGGGCCCCTTGGGGCAGGAGGGGGGGTAGTCGATTGCAGCCACCCCCTCGGAGGCCACGATCCTCGTGAGGGGTGGCGAAAAATAGCCTCCCCCCTGGGGATCGCCCGGGGGTCAGCCGGAGATCGGCCGGGGTACTTTTCGTCCAGGGGCCCCCAGGGGCCGCCCCGCGCGCGCGAACTAGAAATATTGTTGGTAGTTACCGAAGATCTTAGCACGCCTCTGGCCCGTTGGGCCGGCGAGTTTCGGCACGGCACCGCCCCCCCCATCCCGCGCGCCTCTTCCACGTCCTCCCACCCACCAGCCAGCGCGCGCTCCCTCTGCCCCGACCCCTTGAGTTCGGCACGGCCCCGCCCCGCCCCGACCCCTGACTAACTATAGGCCTTCCGCATCCTCCCACCCACCAGCCAGCGCGCTCGCTCCGCATCCCCCCGCCCGCCAACCAGCACGCCCCCTCCGCCCCGACCCCTTTATTTCGACGCGGCACCGCCCCATCCGCCCCGACCCGTCAATTCGGCACGGCACCGCCCCCCCCCATCCCCCACCCGCCAGCCAGAGCGCCCCTTTTGCCCTGGCCCCTATCGTTCGGCACGGCAGCGCCCCCCCGCATCATGCGCGCCTCTTCTACATCCCCCACCCACCAGCCAGCGCGACCCCTCAGCCCCGACCCCTTTTCTTTCGGCACGCCCCCCCCCCCCTCCCCGACCACTTACTATAGGCCCTCCGCATCCTCCCACCCACCAGCCAGCGCGCCCCCTCCGTCCCGCGCCCCCCCCCCCGCATCCCCCCACCCGCCAGCCAGCGCGCCCCCTCCGCCCTGGCGCCTTTATTTCAACACGGCACCGCCACCCCCGCATCCCACGCGCCCCCTCCGCATCACCCCACTCACAAGCCAGCGCGCTCCCTCCGCCCCGTTTTTTTTGTTGGTTCGGCGCGGCACCGCCCTTCCGCCCTGACCCCTGTATTTCGGCACGGCACCGCCCCCCCTCTGAATCCCACGCGCCCCCTATGTATCACCCCACCCACCAGCCAGCTTGCCCTCCGCCTGATTTTTCATTTCGGCACGGCGCCGCCCCCCCCATCCCGAACGCCCTCTCTGCATCACCCCCACCCCACCCAGTAGCCAACGTGCCCCCTCCGCCCCGACCCTTCATTTCGGCACGGCGCCGCCCCCCCATCCCGAACGCCACCTCCATCACCCCATCCACCA